GAATTCCAAAAAGAGGATCGTAGAGTTCAATTTTAATAGTTTTGAGCTTTTGATGTTTTGTAATCTTTCTTAATTATTATAGACAATGGCACTATGCTACTATGTTCAGATCTTGTACTTTGATTATTACTATTGTACATTTACATTAAATTTTTTTTATACGCGGAATACCCAGCCGTGAAATCCTGGCTCCGCGGAGGTAAACTGAAGACAATGCGCGCGCGTGGCGTCGTCGCGTCCCTCGAGTGCTGACCTCTTGTAGAAAATGCATATATACCTCGTGCACTTCCTCGCCGTCCGGTGTGCGATCTGCGAAGACCATTTCCGCCTCGTACATCTGCACCCGGGAGAGGAGGGCGCCATATATGTGCCTAGTTAACCATATGATATTGGCACGCCGCACGCAGTGCAGCCAGTGCTCCTGATGATCTGTTCAAAAACAACCGGCGACCGAGATACTATATGCATTACCAGTGTCAATGGATCTGCAGTGCAGGCTCAGCTGGCTCATCAGTCAGATGGCACAATTACTCACTCTACGACAAGTCGGAGTACTTGACATTTTTATAGGCCTGTACATTTGCAATTTTCATTGCTCACTCGGTCACTCGATCCACTGTTTATTGAGGGCCAGAAAGAAGGAACGAACGTGAGTCATGCAAAGCGCTATTGCGGGGGTCCGTGGAGGCCCGAAGGATGGTCGCTAGTGATTAAAAAAAAGATGGTGTTTGATCTAGTGACTAAAATTTAGAAAGTGTGTCTAGATAATGTTGTATGGGATGTTCGGATACTAATAAAAAAATAAATTACATAATCTATCAGTACTCCACGAGATGAATTTTTAAGCCTAATTAATCCGTCATTATTATATGTTTACTGTAGCACCATATTGTCAAATCTTGGACTAATTAGGGTTAAAAGATTCGTCTTGCAAATTAGTCGCAAACTATGCAATTAGTTTCATAATTAGTCTATATTTAATACTTCATGCATATGTCAAACATTTAATGGAACAACGATTAAAATTTAGGAGGAGCAACCAAACACCACCTAAGCCAATCGAGGAGTGTAACTGAAGGACTGGCCACCAGTGTGACACCGCTCCTTCCCGCGTGTTCTACTGCAGAAGCTAATCGAAGCCCTTCAGGCCAAGCTTAGTTTTTGCGGCTGCATGTCCGTACGTGTGACAACGGTTCTGGCTTTGTGTTTTACCGGTCAGAAGTGCACCTCCCACGTGAGGGTGTTATGGCGCGGCTTCGCCTTCGCCGCACGTGGAGCCACAATGGAGAAGCCGGTGTGGGAGCCACCAGGGACGAAGCTAGAAAAAAATTTAGGAGAGACTGAATAAAAGAATAGAGCCTTTTTTATATTCTCTTAACTTTAGCCTCTCTTACCTGATACATATATGCATAAAATTTTAAGAAAGGGTTTAGGGGGGCTCCACGTGCCCAGGATCGGTAGGGGGGCTAGAGCCCCCCAGCCCCACCGCTGGCTCCGTCGCTGGGAGCCACGCCATACGGGCCCTGAGGCACTGCTGAGTAATGGTGTTCGCTGGATCATTTTTTTTTGAAAGAATCAAGCAGGAAAGGCCACCGGTTATATTAAAAAGAAGAAACACCCAAATTGAGCAATACAACGACGGCAATAACACAAGAGACAATGAAGCTATAAACTAACACATGTAAATAACTAATTCAAATATTTTAAGAATACATGGTCGGTTGACTGAGATCGACCTTAACACGGGCCACACAAACCCTTCATGCAACATTGCTCCCCTCAACCACCACAACAAGATGACACTATATAGCTATAGCCAAACCACAAGCGTCGCATCCTTACTCCGCTAGTCACCACGATGCACTACAATAACAGGATGACAATGCCAACATGTCGTCATGCCATCGTTGTCGCTTTGCGTCTTCATTATCGACAATGACCTACACCAAGCCACCCACTTCAAGTAGCCCCCTACAGTCGTGTAGCCGTCACGCCGTTGCCTCCACTTGCATTGGTTGTCGACGTTGTCCCTCACCGGATTAACCTATGCCACGCAAGTCTAGCCACCGCATGCAATGCAAGCTGTCAAGCTAATAAGTGAGTAGCTTCCTCTAGTCATCGCTAAGCCTACCTCATCCTCCAAGATCAAGGTACCTACAACCACTACTACTGTAACCATTTCAAATTTTCAGAGGCGGGCATGGCATCCATCTCTAGCAAATGGTCACTGTTAATCGGCCATTTTCAAAGGCGAGCGTGTTGCCCACCTCTGTTAATATATTAATGGAGGCCAGCGTCTTAATGTATCCTCCTCTGTTAATGGAGCCTTTGTGGAGGCGGGCATTTCCCCATGGACGCCCCCTTCATTAAATGAGGCAGTGCCGCTTTTGTGCTCGCCTCTATTAATGTAGGGACTGGTCTCCTAAACAATCTTTTTTGCGGTAGTAAACGTGGCTCTATGAAACTTGCTACCTCATTGAAGAAACTAGAAGAGTCACTAAATCCTTCGGTTGTCATTAGAGAGCCTCATTGCATGTCAACGCCATCGCTATGCGGGACTGCCTGTCTCCACACCGTGCAGAGCACATCACCAAAGCACATTTCCTGGTCACCTCCTACTGCACCGGTCTCCATGCCAACTTCGCGGTCACAACTTCCATACCGTCGCCCTTAATTGCCAGACATAAGCACCGTCCTCCATCACTAAGCCCACTCGCTCTTTTGGCCCTCTTCCTCCACCCAGGACCCCTACACCTCTAATCCTCAACCAGGTCTCCACCATCTTGTACTCAACACCCCTTGGCACCAACATGGCAAACACCGGTCGCCATACATCGCCTTTCACCTCACCACACATGGCCACACAAATGGCAACACCAGCCATGCAACCACAACTCTATGTCCTAGCACACTACAACCTTACTCACAGTCACTTGGCCTCATTCATCACCGCAGCATATGCTATGCATGTGTAGCCTCTACAAGGTAGTTACATCATGCACACATGGGTCCACACTGTCCATGAACGAACACCGCACCGATGCGCAGACCGCATCCTTAAAATTGCCTCTGTCATATTCTTTGCACCACCACCGTTCAATTTACATGCCAAAGCGTCCTCCACGCCGCCACATAACTGTTCTCGGTCCTCACTTGGCTGTCTCAGCCCCCAAGCGATCCATGTGTAGTCACCATCATCGTGCAAGTCTTGGCTACCACTGCCATCGTAGATGCGCACCCAAGCCCGAGCTATTTTGCTTCCCCCGTGGTGGCTGGCGCAAGTGCCTAAGGGCACCGTTGCGCACTCAAGCCCATGCTATCCCAGTGAAGGACGACGCGGTGGGATCTCCACTGTTGTAGCCAATTCGTTCCATGTTGTAGGCCCTTGCTTGGTGTCCTCGTGGCCACCGCCTCCACCACCATGTGCGCCATAGCACACAACACACACCACTTGTTCACCTTCCACCACCGCTGTAGAGGGCAGAAACCAGGGGCGGAGCCAGCCCTGTTCACTGCTGTCATGTGACAGCAGTGATTTCCTGTGATTTCTATAACACATTGATGCTCACATGTAAAGTTAAGCCATGATGTAGTAGAAGTGACATCAATGGATTTGAGCTAGATCCGCCTTGCCTAGAAACACTTGGTCCAGGCAGCAACATACCAGATCTGCATGTTTTTTTTGTGAATCTGGTCCATTGTGCCTCCGTCGTACATCTCGGTTGTTAGAATCTCGAGCACCATCGTGGGTAGATGGTGGGGGTGGAGGGGGGAGGGCATGAGCTCAGCAACAAATTAAAAGGTCCAGTCGTCTCCATCCTCACAGCCAAACGGGTCTCGCCCAGGCTAGGAGCGATGCGGGGTCTCTAATCCTTTTTTGTCGGTTCGACACATTTTAAGTTTGGAAACATATTTCGATTAGATAATGGCTTCATTCATACTCATCTTTCTAAAAATTTCACTGTTTCTCAATACTATATGCAGCAAGAAGAATCGAAAATACAAATTGCCTCAATCTAATGTTTCCATGCGGTGGTGTCCTACAATGCCGCTTTTTACCCTTCACTTGCGTCGGTCAACAAGCTTCAACCCGTGGCACGCCCTCGCGATGCCGCAAGACATAAAGATTTCCAAACGGGCCAGGCCCATCGGGCCAACACGGGCAACGATGCTGATTTGGCCCGATGCGAAAACGGCCCGCCCGCCTCTCCTCCGTGCCGTGCCAAGCACGCATGCGCGGCCCGTTCGTGCGTGCAGGCGCGATGCCAGCCGTTGGCGCAGCGGCACGGCCGCATCCGAGAGGCCGGCAAGACGGGTCGGCACGGCTTGGAGCCGTTGGATGGAGACCCCGCGATTCCTAGCCGTTGGATGTAGGGTTGGGACGAGTGGCTATATAAGCCGGCGCCGCTCACAGGCTCGGTCAGGCCGAGCCACCGAAAGCATCGTGCTCATTCTCTCCCCCGCTCGGCCGCTTCCCAGTCCGCTCCGCGCTCCGCTCCGCTCTCCTCTCTTCTTCGAAACCCTAGCCACTCACTCACCCGATCTCCTCTCTTCTTCCCGCCCTCCGGTGGCTGGTGACGACAGCGGTGGCTGGCACGGGCACACGGCACGGCCTTCTACACCCCCCCTCTTCTCCCTGACCGGCGATGTAGCTTAGTCGTCTCCATCTCCTCCTCGTCTCTCTCTCGTCGGTCTCGTCGACCTCGCCGGACTCCGGTGTCATTGGGGCTCCGCAAGGAGGCGTTGAGGTACCAGGACGCCGGATCTGAGCGACGTCGGCGTCGTCGTTGCCTCTGGTGCTCCGTCAAGCGAGGTGAGCTCAGATCTGCTTCTTCTTCTTCACTTCATTTCTTTTCTTGTTCTTGATTCGGTGTTCTTCACTTCTTGTTCTTGATTGTTTGTTCTTCATCTCCTTCTTCTTCTTCTTGATTTAACCCTAGATCTGTTTCTTTTTTTTTGAAGCCGCTGGCGTTGAGGGACCGGAGGCCGGCAACGACGAGATGTCGGACGAGGAGGAGGACATCGGTCTCTCCATGACCATCAACGACGAGCTCCGCCTATGCGGGATGACCGGAGACGACGAGGACGATGTCGTTGGGGATGCCGAGGAGCTCTTCGGCCGTCGTGCTGCCGAGGAGCTCAACGGCGGCACTGCTGGTAACCCACTTCCCGTCGACGACGGTGATGGCCCCAACGCCGTCCAGGGCGACGCTCAAGCTCAAGCCGCTGGTGATGACGGCTCAAGCAGCAAGCCTAATCGCCCTTCTACCTCGGTCTGCTGGGAAGATTTCGAGAAGCTCATCAAGAAGGTAAATGGTAAGGATGTCAGGTATGGCGCTCGGTGTCTTCACTGCCGTAAGGAGTACTCTGCTAATTCTAAATTTGGGACTGGCCATCTTCTCCGTCATCAAGACTCTTGCCCTAAGAAGCGTGAGAAATGTCGCATGGCTCAGTCCCACATTACTTTCAATAAGGATGGTAGTGTGCGAATTGGGAGTATTCTCACGAGGTTGCTCGTAAGGAGCTTGTTCGTTTGCTTGCTAGGCTAGACCTTCCCTGCGTCTTGGTGAAACCGAGGCCAGGGAAGATTACATAAAAACGCTCATAACCCTAGGTACTCTCTCGTGTCTAAGCAAACTACAGCTAGAGATCTTTTAAGTATTTCAATTCTAAGCGTGATAGTTTGATTGAAGATTTGAAGAATAATGCCATTTCATCTGTTGCTATTACTTCTGATATTTGGTCTGGAAATGCTAAAGAGGATTATTTGAGTGTTGTTGGTCATTACATTAATGCTGATTGGCAACTTGAAAAAAGGGTGCTTGGCTTAAGGCTTATAGATGCATCACATAATGTCGATAACATTCTTTGAACGTGTTAAGATTGTGCTTAATGATTATGGTATATTGAACAAGGTCTTTTCATTACATTGGACAATGCCTCTGCTAATAATAAAGCTATGGATAAACCGAAACACAGTACTTTAAGGAGTATTTAGGTTCTCGATCTGTTTTTGCATCAACGCCAGTGTTTGTCATATCATAAACCCGATTGTTAAAGAGGCTTTGGTTGTTTGTTAGTGCTTTGATTGATGCTTTCGAACTGCAATATCATGGATTAACTCTTCTAACATTCGAAGTTGCTTGCATATAAGAGTTCTTGCATGGCATCCGGTACTAGACCTAGGAAGTTTGCTTTGGACATGGATGTTAGGTGGAACTCTACATACCTGATGCTTAGGCATTTGCTACCACACAAGGAAATTTTTCATACTTTCATTGAGTCTAATTATCCTAGACCTAAAGGTGGCCCCTTTCTTTTGACTCATGATCATTGGGCTATAGCAACTAAAATATCGGAATTCCTTGAACTGCTTTTATGACTCAACAGCTTGCTTTGTCCGTGTGTACTATCCTACTGCCCCACTTATGGTTCATCATATTGTTAAGATTGCTATACACCTGCATAAGTATCAAAATGATGAACATATTAGAACTATTGTTCAACCTATGATTGATAAGTACAATAAGTATTGGAGAACCATACCTGATCTTTACTGCATTGCATTTATCTTGGATCCAAGAGCTAAAATTAAAGGTTTTAACAAAGTGCTTAAGAAGTTAAATGTGCTTATCGATGTTGATTATTCTAATAAGTCGATGCAAACTAGAACTCTACTTTTCAAGTCAGTATCATAAGTATGATGATTTGTATGGCTCTGTAAGGGCTAAAAGGGCGATCCTCCAAGCCTATCTGGTAAGAAAAGAACAGCTTGGGCTGAAATATATGATGATGATGATGATGATGATGGTCTGGTTGGAGCTGCCTGTTCTTCTCTTCCTCCTAATCTTGATATGTCTAGGAGTATGCACCTTTCTTCGTTTTGTTACATGCAAAGAAGTTCTTCTAGCAATGAGTTCTGAATCATGCGCTTATCTGGATTGTGACACAGTGAGCCAGTGGGATGATGACTTCAACATCCCGAATCGGTGGCATCGTCATAAGCTAACATATCCAGCTTCTTTCTACCCTTGCTAAAGATGTTTTTCGAGTGCTGCTGTTTCTACCATTTCCTCGGCTACTTTCAGGTACCAATGGCGGGATCATTGAAGAAAGGCGGCGGAGGCTAAACCACGAGACTGTGGAGGCACTCACATGCATCAAGGATCGAAGTCATGAGTCAAGGCTACAACATATGGTGGAGGATAAGGAGCTCGAGGAGGCCTTTGAAAACCTTTATCTTGATTAGTCATTCATTTATGTAATGGTCTGTAATCTTAAAGACTTGGACTTGGATGCTTTGGACCTGTGGATTGGATTTAATGAACAATTGGATTAAACTAAGGGGTTGGCTGCACTCTTTTTCCCTGTCTAGGGTTTCTCACAAGGGTGAGTTTTACCTGGACAGGTTTTTAATGAGACAGCCATTGCACAGCTCCTTTTATTTCATATTCTGTTCTTCTTGTGTTCTCTTTTTTCTTTTGCTTTCTTCAAATTTGAATTTGATCATTGAATTGTGCTGCTGTTTGTGAACATTTTAAGTGTTATTGAGGTTTTAGTGCCCAGGCACGGCACTAATCCGCTGGGCTGCCGTGCCTTGTGGCACGGCACGGCACTGCCTGGACTCCTTAGTGCCGTGCCTGGGCCGGAGTGGTGGCACGGCGGCACTACACGGCACGGCACGGTCAAGATGCCGTGCCTAATAGTGCCGTGCCTGATAGTGCCGTGCCGCGCCGTGCTAGTGCCGTACCGTGCCCGGGCGGCCCGTTTGGAAAACTTTAGCCGCACATGCGGCACGATCTCGCCGGAGTCATGTCGTCGCTTGCAGTCGTACGACGGCGCGATGTGAAAACACGGCTCCAGGGACAAGTCCCTGCGGCACCAGCCGTGCCTGTGCCCCGCTGTGCCGTTGGCCTGTTTGAGCAGGACCCACGGCCTCAACCCGGCGAGTCCCTGCGCCACATAGCCGAACGTCGACTTGCCGGTGGTGACCAGCATATCCGTCAGGCTTAGCAAGTAGATCTCCGCCCAGGCCTTGTACTCGTGCGACTTCACGCCGAAGTGCTGGTACTCCTCGTGGCTCGGCTGGTTCACAACCACCACCTCGCCGTTCGCCGTCGCGTTCTCCCAGTACATGCCCTTCATCTGCTCGTAGTACCAGGCCTTGAGAGAGGTGATCACGACGGCGCTTGACTTGGCACCAGGCGCGGTCGCCGCCGCCGCCGCCGTCGTTGTCACTGTCACGGCTGGTTCTTCCGTTCCCATCAGTCCCGGGAGCAGCCCCTCCTCCTGCGTGCACTTGGTGATCCTGTCCAGGAGCTCCGGAGACTCCGGCTCCCAGGGAAAGACGCGGACCTGGATGCCGACCCGGCGCTGAGCCCACGCCAGGTTCGCGCGGTAGTAGCGCGTGATCAGGCCCCAGACATGGTTCGTGGGGTGGAACAGGTACCGGCCAAGGTGGTGGAACACGGCCTCGCGCTCCGGGAACAGCATGTCGAGCTCCTCCTGGAACGACTTCACGAAGAACAGCCCCGGCACGATGTAGCTGTCCGTCCTCATCACCAGCCACTGGAAGCTCGATAGCAGCCGCTGGTCGTCGTCGCAGAAGAACAGCTGGTCGTAGTCGGTTTGGTTGTAGTCGAGGTGAATGTACGCGAACGCCGGCATCTCCGCCGCCGCCACCGGGGACGTCCTGAGCACTCCGTTCTCGCGCATCTTGCCGTACCGCTCCGGCGTGTCGAAGCCGAAGTTCCAGAGCGGGAAGCTCCAGGGCAGCAGCCACGTCGTGTCGGGGAATGGCTCGCAGAACAGCTCGCCCATCTCGTTGCTGGGGTCGACGAGGAGCACGCGGTCGGTGAGGAGCGCGTACAGGAACGCCGACGCGGCGGCGAGGATCCGGTTCCCCAGCCCGCGGTAGGAGACGGACACCAGGTACCTGCACTCCGGGGACGACGCGGCGTTCTTGCCGGACTTGAGCTGCTCCACTGCGCTGGAGTAGGCGGCGGTGCCCGGGCCGCACCGCCTTTGCAGGGCTTCGTGCCGCCGCAGCTTGGAGACGAGGTACTCGGAAGGCTGCCTGCCGGGGTTCCGGCGGTACATGGCCGATTGGTACCGGCTGTGGCATGACTCCTGGTCGAATCCTGCCACCAAGAGCCCGCCGTGAAGCCTGTCGTGCGTTGTCCTCGTGTACGGGAAGGAGAAATCGTCCGGACCTGCAGACCGTTGCATGCAAAAGTAACTGAGTATAAAAATCTCTGCTTTCCAAAATGCAGGGAAGTAAAAATTGTAGTAGTCTCTCGCGCTTAGAAGGCCGCCTGAAGGAACTTGCGTTGAGGGAAAAGTTGGTTACCTTGCCGTAAGCCGGCCATGGCCGTCCTAACCCAGACCACCGGCGTGCCAGTGCTGCCGCCGAGGAGGATGACGAGCGTGGGCACGGTCATCACGAAGGCGGTGAGCAAAGCGCTAGCCCCCCAGTTCCATCGCTTGCCGTGGGCAGTGAGCATGCCGTTCATTGACTGAGCTGGGGGAAGCTTCCTCGGGTCTCCTCCTAATCCTTATTTCGTGCAGCGTCCTCGCAGTGTCCCGATTCTCTTGTAGTACTGCCTACTGCGACGACTTCGTGATCTGGAGCTAGCTTCGGTCTCGCGGCTTGACAAGTGTGCCGCCAATGGGCATGGGCACGATATGCTATGCATTTAGTGTAGGTCAACTCTATTATATAGTCTATCCGCGTTTGTGCTGCTGCCCGTTTCAGTATGCGATTCCGCAGTAGAGATCTTGATGAGTTGGTTTTATAATCCTCTGACATACAATGGGTTTCTGTTTTGAGCGTAAAATATACCTGCAGACAGCAGCTACCATAGTAGAGCTATACGTTAGCACTGTATGTAATCGGCAGGGTTTACATCAACGCCAACTATACTTCGTGATTCCAATTCCATGCCCTTGGGATCAGGGTATAACAATGTAGGAGTGTTGACGTCGGAAGTGATCCGAATCAAACATCAACAGGGCCTTGGACGCTCGGACCGCTACAGACCGAAGAATGCAGCGAGGATGCCACTCTTTCGTAGTGAAGAACGGAGAGGTTTACAAGTAAACCACTAAAGAATAACCAACGTACTTACGTGACGAAGAACCGGCTAGTTTTCAGGCAAACTAACAAAGAAACCGTCGAAGCTCTCGCCCGGGAGGGACCCCGTCAAGGCAAGGACGTCATCAGGTTACCCTAGGTCGGCCGGCAAGCCTAGGGCGCCATCCTTGGTCGTCGGATCAAGGGATGAACAGCATGGGGGTTGGAGAAGAGGGCAAAAGGGTTGGAGTAGAGGTAGTAGATTGATTTGTTTGACGATTGGATAAATGGTAACTCAATCGGCCATGATCCTCTCATATATAGAGGGGGTGGTCTTATCCCAGTAGAAAACCTCTCCAAGCCTTATTTTTTAAGTTTCCCACGAGTTTAGAACAGTTCAGATCGGAATCCAAGAGTTCAGATCCGATCAGGATTTTCTGTTAGGTATGTCGGAAGTCCCGACTTGGGTCGGAACTCCCGACAGTCAGAGCTTCCGACTTTTATCGGAACTCCCGACGTAGGGATAACCCAGACACCCGAGCAGATTTCTTCAGGCTTCCCGGAAATCCCGACACCCGTCGGAACTTCCAACAGTCGGAAGTCCCGACTTGGGTCGGAACTCCCGACAACGAGGTATCTTTCCGAGGGCATAACTTCTTCATCCGGACTTCGAATTAGACGTTTCATATATGTTTTTTGACCGTCTCGACGAGAGGAACGCAATGGTGAAGTCCATTTTACATTTGACAACTTCACAAAATATACATTTTTGTTGTCAACATATGCCCCCCTGTTTTCAGGTGAATGATGCATGAACCTGAAAACACTTATTCAAAACCAAACAGCGATGATACCCATCTCATCGACTGCTTAGTGACTAAGGGCGATGTATACATCAGCTATTTTTTTTCTAAGGGCGATACATGTATCGGCCATTGTTTGGAGAGCACTTAGGCTTCTTACCAAACACTTGGAAAGTACCCTTTCAAGTATCTCCCGTTGAATGCTCTCGTGAGACGTTCACCTTGCAATGTCTCTAGCACATATAAATTTCCGAATATAACTTTGGCCACTTTGTAAGGACCTTCCCAATTCGGTGACCACTTGCCAAACTGATTGCTCTTTGATCCAATTGGTAGTATGTTTTTTCACACCAATTCTTTCACTTGGGAGGATTTGCTCCTGACTTTCTTGTTGTGTGCTTTGGCAACTCAAGCTTTATCTTTCTCTATTTCCTTGAGAGCTTTTAATCTCACATCAGTCATCTCATCGATGTTATCCATCATCAAATCATGATACACAACAGCTGATAAATCATTTTGTTTAGCGAGCCTGTATGCATCCAAATTCACTTCGATAGGCAACACGGCTTCTTGACCATATACTAACTCAAAAGGAGTAACCTTGGTAGCACCATGCATTGAAATGCGATGTACCCATAGAGCCTCAGACAAAACTTCATGCCATATCATTGGATTCTCCTCAATTTTCTTTTTGATGAACTTGATCAAAGTCTTATTACTAGACTCAACTTGACCATTGGCTTGAGCATAGTATGGAGATGAATTGAGCCACTTGATCTTATATAATTCGGCAAATTCCCTCACCTTTTTTGGACACAAACGATGTCCCTTGATCGGTAGTTAACGTTTGAGGATGCCAAATCTATGAATAATATGCTCAGTGATGAACTCAATTACTTCCTTGTGTGTCATATTCTTCAAAGGAACTCCCTCGGTCCACTTAGTAAAGTAATCCGTAGCAACTAACACAAATCGGTGTCCCTTCGAAGATGGGGGATATATTTGGCCAATGAAGTCTTGCCCCCAACCACGACC